CATACAAGTACCTGCGCACCCCAAAAAGCATTATGGAACAAGATTAGGTAGACACAAGAGCCGAAACAAATTCATTGCGGTCATACACTAAGGCAAGAAATGACGCAAAATACAGAGAAACGGGGCTTGTAGTGTGGGTTGCCTGTCGCCCCTTATGGGGCTTCTGCGTTGGAGCTAGGAGATCCCGCTCCATGCTCGTCCCTTCCTTAAACCAGCCATACAAACATTTCTAGGTGTCTGAGAAAGAAACGAATGCCACGAGCGTGTTCAGCACACTTCACTTGACAGTTTTGGTCGAAGGATCAACGTTTGGAGTGCATAGGGTCGGCCTTGAACGACTTTGAACACAAGGGTGTTCAATTTCTAAAAATTTGGACTTTGCGAGCTTGTAGAAATTGACCGGGGCCAAATTTTGGCAATTTACCGACGTGAGCTTGTTCCGTACACTCTCCTTAACCTTCCCTGTAATTTTGGTTAAGATATTCCAACTGGAAGTGCTCATTTTCGCCTACAATCGACGGAAGGAGCGCGAAATAGCCGGGTGAGCACAGCGGGTTGCCTACCCGAAGTCCCCGTAAGGCGCCATGTTAATTTTAACCCCTTGTAAAATTTTTCCTAAGGGCAAATTTTTTTGTTCCTTCGGGCAAAAACCTTTATTTAGGTCCCAACTACCGATGTGCCGAAGGGCATCGCATTACTCCGATTTGCAGGGTCCAGCCTATTTCTCTGACGTACACCGGGCACTAATTCGTACTTTTGATGGTGCTCTGCAAATCTTACTGTATATCGAGATGACAGTTTAAACTGCAATACTAAAAGTTTTACAGTTAAAACTCAAAACTGTGCAGTTCAACAGTTTGAACTGTCAAACAAGGCCAATGCAGTCGTGCAGTTTCAACTTTAGAACTATACTGTCCTGCAGTTTCTACTGTAGAACGTTTTTGTTTCGCAGTGTAAACTGAGAGACTTCTGGTTTTGCAGTTTAAACGGTAAAACTTTTCCTTTTGCAGTTAACTGTCATTTGGTTATACAGTTAGGACTGCAGAGTGAGCGCGTAGAACTTTCGAACGTATAGTACTTTACTTGTGCTGTGAATTATCTAAAAAAGTAAAAAAAAAAAAAAAAAAAAAAAAAAAAAAAAAAAAAAAAAAAAAAAAAAAACCTTGAATTTTTAGCGGTCTGCCTCAATGCATATACAGCATACCTTTCCACTATAAGGCCGACAGCTTTCGGAACCAGATGAAGATTCGTCGTCCTCATCGGAGTCACCGTCACTGCCTGCACAACTTAGGGAGCAGTCACTGTCGGAATCGGCGGCAGAAGAACAACTATCTGGGTCACAGTCGGAGCCTTCACTTGAGTCGTCAGTCCATTCGCTTTCAGGGCTTTCGCTGGACTCCGGGGTGGTGCAATCACTCCAATCGCTGTCAGAGCCTTCTGCTGCGTCCATTTCGACACGCGAAGGCCAGCAGACACCTACGAGGAACAAAAAACGTTAATTCTTGTTAACCATAAACGGACACGTAGTTAGGAAAATTTTCTATTTTATAGTTTTGAGCAATATTTTTTGAATATAGAAGTTTGCGCCGCGTCATAGCGCCCTCTCACTCGTACAATCTGCTTTTGGACGCCACGTAGGCATTTCATGCCTGCTCGCTGTATTGTTCTTGTTCTTGATGTGTCGTTTTGCGTGATATTTTTGCGAATTAGCCTAGTAATCATTACTTTTATAATTGAACACAATTTTTGGCGTGGGCGCTGGGCAGCGCGCGCGGGGGGCCGACTAATCAGATAGCAAGGTGTCTATTGTTGCTCTGGTACCCGGGCGTGGGTGTGGTGCTGCTCAACAGGTGGTGTTGAACCATGACGCCCCCGCCCCCGCCCGTCCCCCTACTGTCTGGCAGAAACGGGTCCGTTTAAAAATTGCGGTGAAGTAGCAGTGTGGGCAGAGTGGCCATCGAAAAAAGCGGGACCACACTAGGAAAAATATTATGAAGCGCCGAGGTGCTTCGTTAAAAAGCAAACACGAGGGGTCTAAAACTAGTATAATTAAAAGTACACGACCCTGTTATCACTTACAACCATATCTATAATCCATAATCTTTTATAATCATTAATAATCCTATGATTTCTTATAATCTCTTGTATAGTCAGAGACATTTTTCTAAGAAATAACTTCACAAAGTCAAAATATCACTAGTAAATGAAGAAAGAGAAGTATCTAGGAACACTGTTAAAAATCGATTGTAATTTTACAAATTTTGTTGGCAACTTTTCACACAATTCAATATTTGTAAAATTACAAACTAAAACACTTATTCATGGTTGCCACAAAATTTTCATTTCCATTTTCCCTGAGTTTTCCCTGATTTCCAGACCATTTCTCCCCGAATTTCCCTGAGTTTTCCCTGAATTCCAGACCATTTCTCCCCGAATTTCCCTGAGTTTTAAGCACCGTCCCTAGTGAAGTACTGGGGAAAACTAATACTCCTAACTGTAATACAAAGACAGCGAGCGAAGCGAGCGCGAAAACTTTTGGACAAAACACCCTACTGGGATGTCAAAATGTGTATTTGACCTAAACGGCGAATAGACTGCATTTTGGGGACCAGTCAGACCAAATTTCCCTGACTATTTTTCATTTTCCCAGAGTTTTCCCTAATTTCCCTCACAGTTTTTTATTTCGCCGAGTTTTCCAGGTTTTCAAGGTTTTCCAGAGTTGTGGCAACCATGTTATTGTAACAAAATTTGCAAACGTGTTTTGAAATTTCCGAATCTGCGATCTGAAAGTTAAAAACGTTAATGTGAATTTTCAAAACATCCAGGCTTATAAGATGAAAGTAATTCGCCATGAACATGGAGTGGACTAGGTGAACTACGAACGGTCTAGGGCTCAGCTGGGTGGGCTGAAGGTGTGCCAGTGACCTCTGAGGAATTAGACCAATTATTTGGGGCACTTGCGTGACTTTTTGCCCAAAAACAAATGGGTAGTCAGCCACAGCATTGTGTTACAGATCATACCGCGAAAAAATACATGTCGGTTTCTTGTGCAAATTTTGGTTAAATACTAATAATAGCTTTTGGAAGAGACGCGCTGACCACAACGCCATCTGGCGGCAGTTCTTTGAAGTGCAGTCGTTGTTTCGTGTGCAAGTCCCAAGTGACAAAGGGCTTATAGGTGTGGAGGTTCGTTGTACCGTAGTAAACCTGATGGAGGACTTGTGTGGGTCCTGTCTCATTTGCTTTGACTTCGCAAAATTACAAACTTCAATCGGAAAATTACAATCAGATCTCACATGTCCGATAGAGTGATCACAATTTTACGATCGCAAATTGTAAAATTACAAATGTTTCCTCATTTTAAGGGGACAGATTTAAATTTTCAGAAAACCGTTATGAATTTTAATATCTAATTGCCACATTGACAATGTTATGAAATTTCCCAACCACGTTTGAAATTTTACAACTAATTCTGATGTGAAATTTCAGAACTTTTTTAACAGTGCCCGCGTGGAAACGTGTGGTATCAGTTTGTCAACAGTTTGTCATCTCGCCGATGACAAACTGATGACAATACGATGATACAATTTGATGACATACTGATGACAAACTGATGACAAACGAAAATCGGCGTTCCGTCATCAATATGTTATCAGTATGTCATCAGTTTATCAACCGTTCGTCTTCGACGGATTACAAACGGCTTACAAACTGATGACAACCCACTCACATACTGGCCGCTTTCGACGCTGGAGAATGCTGCAACCGAAATGTTGAAGGTGTGCTTCAAACTTGTTTCTTTTGTTGCCGACGAAATGACATAAGGGGTGCGTACTGGATCTGAATTCTACATCAGACACACCTTTTCAACGTATTGTTTCAATGAAGAGGAATAGATAAACAAGTATTCTTCGAGAAGTAGTCGGTGCGCTGGGAGAGGTTAGGAGGTTATGTTGCACCTAAACTCGCAGACGTCGCAGAGGATTCACCGACCAAAAAATATAATTTCCAGTGAAATCAGCATTAATCTTGATGGGCACAGTTGTTTTCTACTGTAAATATACTGCCCTGTTACAGTCTGACTGCTGTTTCGTCACAAAGAAAGGTAAATTACAAGTTTAAAGCTTTTATAGGCTTCGGCTGGGAGAGGGCTAACTGCTACAGTGCTGAGTGTTGTAGAAAGTTTGAGATAAACCGCAGTAAGTACACAAATGACACTAAGAAAATCTGAAAGTTTATGAAATTTGGCTCGGGATAGGCTGCGACCCCGGGAGCACGTAAAAGTGTAAACATTTATAAAATGTTTATAAACATGAGCTGGGGTTAAGGCAGAGTTCTGCGATGGGCGGGCGGCCTCCGCCCGGCAGCACCGAGCGCTCGTCGCCAGAGCGCCCGGCCCGGCCCGTCTCTTCGTCGATGGGCCGGGTGGCCGCCCGGACCGAGCCCGGAGACGGGCGGATGGTCCGCCCGCTTCATTCGGCACCTTTTTGGCGTGGCGAGAGTAGCTGTCGGCCAGCGCCGACCCGCGTGGACCCGGCACAGGTGACTTCGGCACTGTTCGGACGTCCGGCCGGTGACTGCCTCCGCCACGCCAAGCCACGGCACCGCAGCTCACCGCCCATGACTGTCGCTCTCTCTCGCACACCTCAGGCAGCGGGCGGAGCCCGCCCGCCCATCGCAGATCTCTGGGTTAAGGGCCGATAGGTAGGCTCGGCTTTATCGTTATTTTTAGTTTAGGAGGTGCCGGTTCGACAACAAATACCTATAAAGCACTTCGCCAATGTGTCTCTTTCCTTTTTATCGAAGGTCTGATGTGGGTCGGGCATTATTTTGTCTGAAATACTGAAAGTAATGGACCAGTGCGACAGGGTCTCCTCAGCGCTCGCAAATAGTTTTGTTCATTAACAAGATAAAAGACGCGAAATAGGTGAGGTATTGTTATATTCCAGCTCCTTGTGACCATCGGCAACGTATTGAAAACTTTCCTTAACGATTCTTGTATGGCAAAGTATTTTAAACATAGCTAATCTGCAGTGAGGAGCACTGAGCGGTGGTTTGAACGGCCGGTTCGCGCCGTCCGGGCTAGCCCATCCCACCCCAAAAAAGTTTTCGAGGTACGGAGCCTAAATGGTAGTTTTGACCTAAAAGTGACCGTGTGCAAAGTCCGGGCCCTGTGGGACAACGTTTACCCGGATCGCATTGCGATTTTCGTTTTGGCCCAAAGTTGGCGCCAAACAGGTAGACCATCTTGTAGGCGCTGCACTGCGCGCAAGGTGGGGCCAGGGCGAACGACTCGGGCTGAAAGTGTTACCCTATGGGTCCTACTTTGTATCAGATATAGAGGATCCGAGCTCCCGACACGCGCGGCATATCCAGGGGCCTAAACGTGCGCCCGACGTCACTCGCCATTTACAGAAAATAATGCCGACGTAGCCCTAACTTTTTATTACATGAAAACCGAGGGCACACTGAGACCTCTCAGAATCAGTAATGTCTGCGGGGTAGCGGTGACGCGTTCAATAGAAAAGGCAAAAAAAGGCCAAAACGCCTGTGTACTAGGCCACTGTGCACTACAGGCGTGTAGTG